GGGAACTTGTTGACAGCTTCAACATTATGCGGCGCGGTGCCAATGCCTATGTTGCTGATTGTGTGTCCAAGCGCCTTGATTGACGTCTGCGCTATGTTGGACTTCTTCAGCGACAGCGTGATTCCTGATGCTATGATACGCTGTAGTACATCGCGTAGGTGCTCCAGGTGTTCTTCAAAGGTGTCTGAGTATGTGATGGTATCGTCAATGTATACAATGGTGTGCTTCCACTTGCTTTTGCTGAGGACTATGTCCATGAGCCGTTGGAAGACTGAGGGTCCGTTGACCACTCCAAAGGGCATACATTTAGGCCGGAACAGGCCCATGTGCGTGCGGAAGGCAAGCTTGTCCATCACGGCAGTGCTAGGGCACACCGTCTGTTGGAACCCTTTGTTGGCGTCGAGTGATGTGTACCACTTCTTGTTGGCAAAGACATTGAGCGTGTCGTCTATCCTTGGCAGTGGGTAGACGTCTTTCTTGGTGACAGCATTGAGCTTGCGATAGTCGACGCAGAAGCGTACCTTGTCCCCTTGTGGCACTAGCACAACTGGTGAGCCCCATGCTGAGTCGCACGGCTCAATAAGGTCTAGCGCAAGCATCTCCTCAATGGCTTCCTCTATGACCTTGCGTCCAGCTGGGCTTGCATGATATGGTGGTTGACTGATAGGAGCGGCGTTGCCTGTGTCCACATCAAACTTGATGATGTCCGTGCTTCCTATTTGCCGGTCTCCATAGGCAAAAGCCTTGCGATTCTCAACAAGCAGTTCTTCTAACTGTTGAGCTTGTTCTGGCGTCAAGTCCTGATTGACGTTGGCTGCTTCAAGGGCCTTCTTGAATTCCATGATGTCAGCCTCTTCTGTGGTAGCATAGTAAGATTCTTTCTCTGTGGCGCGCATTGGCTTTCCTGCGGCATCTTTGGCAGAGGGCTGTTGTGCCGAGATACGGAACAGCTCGTTGGGGTGTTCTGCAAAGCTCATGCGGTCCTTCTGGAAGCTGATGGTTGCGCCATATGTATGAAGTGCATCGTTCCCAATGATGACCTTGGTGTGATTGAATGGACTAACGTAGTAACGCAGACTGATGACGAGCAGCTGCCTGTTGTCTGATATGAATCCTGTGTCGATGTCAACATATGACCAAACTTGAGAGCCGGATCCCAAGCCTCGTATGCTAAATCCAGAACAGGGTTGGGGCTGCAGCGACGGCAGATGTTCCTCTAGATAAGCCTGATCTATGAGGGAGATTGAAGACCCGGAGTCAATGCACGCAAGATGACTAGCCTTCTTACCGTTGAACCAGACGCAAGCAGTGGCAGGCGTCTTCTCTGAGTATGAGGGTAGACCAGCGGTAGGATTGTGCCAGGGCTTAGTGATGCGCAGATGCTTCATTGGACGTGGCGTCACTGGTTTGGCGCTGGAGGGGCACTCCGGGGTGCTGACTGCCGATCTTGAGACGTTTTGGACTGCAAGCTCCTCATCAGGAATTGGTGGTGGGGACTCTGTGAACGCTTTGGTCTTAGAGCGCGTGACTATGACGTTTACTTCCGCATCTGGAGAGTCTTCCACAGATGGTTTCTGGTAGCGGTTGAAGGGTAGCTGTGTGGCGTTTGACTTGGTTGCCACAGGCTTGGTGGTGACGTTGTTACTTGTAGGGCCTTGGCGCAAATTAGGACTTGGACAATCCTTTGCCCAATGTCCATCCTTGCCGCAGCGGAAGCAAGGCAGCCTTGATGTTTGCTGGCCTGGCCTTGGCTGGCGTAGCGGTTGAATTGGTTGACGGTTCTGATATGACGGACTAGCACTGGTTCTTTGATGGTAGTTCTGATGTGGTGGTCGTTGCGAGCGTGGCTCAGTGCTCTGATAGCGCTCCTTGCGCAGCGGTGCTCTCTCTGTGTCTTGACGGTATCCCTGATACGTCTTATAGGTTGCGTTGTTAAAGCCGTTTGCGCGCAGGCCATCTTCAAGGTTCATGATAAGTCGACGGAACTCTTCCAACATAGTTGAGGTGTTGACAGACAAGTGAATGAATGGGTGCATGCTGATTGGCATACCCATGATGATCTCTTGGATCTTCATCGACGTCTTTAGCCCATTACTATAGCGCTTGTTGATGAGATTGAGCTTGTCCTGAAAGTATGTGGAGAACGGTTCATCTGGACGCAGACGGCGTCGAGAGAGCTCCATGTGGATCTGATCCAAGTAGTTGGGTGCTCTGAACGCATTGCGGAAGGCGTCTTGCCAGTCGTCCCACGTATGGTAGTCATAGCGCTGATCCTTCAGGCCAACAAACCAATCGCGTGCGCTGTGCTCTAGCAGACGTGGAATAAGCTTCAGTAGCTGACTCTCCGTTTGACCGGAGAACTCATAGATAGCTGTGACCTGTTCAAGCCACGTGTCCACGTCACGCTTGCCTTTATATGATCCATCATACTTTGGGAAGTCTTCCACACGGAGTCGAGCTGGCATTTCTATGGCAGGCTCGCGTGTGTTCTTGCGCGTATAGGGGCTGATTGTAGCTCTCGTACGCTGGGGTAGTTCCTCTACTTCTTGTTGCTGCTGCTGGGAAGCAGGTGCTGACAGTGCTCGCGCTAGCATCTGTTCCATGCGCTGTATAGTGGAACCCAGTTCCTGGATCTTAGCCTGATCCTTTGTCCGCTGCGCAACATCTTCAGCCCTTTGCTGATCAAAGCGCCTTTGTAGCTCCGCCATACTGGTAGCTAGTAGCTCATCATGAAGCGTCGTCTGTTCCATGTCATGTTGTGCTTGCCGCGCATCCTGCGCTTCTTGGTGCTCTGGTAGAGTTGTACGTGGTGGGGCTGAAGGTGAACGGCGCCCTGTGGCCGTTGCTTCACTTGTATTCTGGCGGTTCCTACCGCGGGTGTTCAGGGCAATGTCCGACATCGCAATAATCTGTTACGTCAAGGAAGACCCAATCTTCTTGAGTGGCAGTACCTTGATCAAACACAAGGTGGGTGGCTGATTGAGCTATATGTATCGACAGTGACAAGCTGTCAGTTTGACGCAGAAGTGGCCCAACCTCTTCTCGTCCGTTACGTCCAACAAGACCCAATCTTGTCGTGTAACAGTCCTACCTTGATCAAACACAAGGTCGTCTACTAGCACTGGTGTCTGACGGTGGGTAGACCGCGTTGGCTCAAACCTGGCTTCAACGGGGACTCAGCAGCGTTTTTGGCGGCCCTGCTGTAGAAGTTGCAAGCTTCTCTTCTTCCTTACCCTGGCAAGGAAGGTACGAGCACCAAGTCCCAAACTTGTGCGAGGCTATAAGTCTATCCTTATGCCTAGAGGATCCCGGATCCTACAGTCTTGATGCGTCCACCAAGCTGTTGTTGTTTGCGTCGAGTTACCTTTAGCTGGTCCCCTGCAGTGGTCACCAAATGTAACAACGCGTCTTCCGGATGAAAACGTACGCCGGCGCAAGTAGGGTCCTTGTGCTATTGAGCAGAGGGCTAGCTGTTGTTAGACGGCGGAACTCAACGGCGGCAGGCTGTGGAGAAGGAGGAAGTGAGTGGAAGACAGCTGGGTGATCAGGCCAGTGTCAGGCGGCGGTCAGGTGAGGAGGTCAGTCGAGGAAGAGGGCAGGAAGATTGGGTGAGGAAAGGTTGTATTGCAAAGTGGGAGAGGCCTTGGGGGGCCTCTATATATACCTTACATGTCTGTCTGAGAGACAGAGAGTGTTGTGTAACAGAATGAGTGAGAAGCAGATGTGGAATGTGTCTGAAGCAGAGTCGCTGCAAGGTGGAGCAGAGTCGCTGCACCGGCGCAGCGTCTCTGAGTCAGAGTCAGAGTTTGGCGCGCGTGAGTCTTTGGTGGCTGCATGAACAATGAGCGAGAGTCATTGCCATGCATAAGGTGTGTGTGAGGCGCAGAGAAGGGATGAGGGAGAGACAGAAGTGTCTGTCTGAGTGGCTTAATGGTGTGTGGTGCGCAGAGGTGAATGTATGTGAGGCATTGGATGTCTGGGAGACATACAAGAGTGCGTCGCAGAGCATAAGGGATGGATTGTGAACGGAACAGGAAGGGAGTCGCTTCTTTACACTTGACCTCCTCTGTGCTGGTCTCACACTCCTTCATCTACTTTCCCTGGGTATCCTGCAAACATCTTTCTGCCACCAATGCTTGTTCCTTGACTGTTCTAGACTCTTGCCCACTACCTTGCATGCTCCACACCTGCTACACATGCTCTGCATCCTTTGATTGTTCTGCAGCCTTGCCTACTAATTCTATCTGCTCCATGACTTTACAGCTCTCTCAACCACTGACTGCAATGTATGCCTGCTAAGCCCTCATCCCAGCACGCCCGTGCTTGTTGCTTTGTGCACACCTCACAACTCTTTCACCTACATGCACTAGCATCCTCCCATCTTCATACTCTGCTGACTGCTCATGTGCCCCTAAGATTGTTGCGTTTGGACACACTGACCTCCCGTTTCTGCACTGTTCTGTCCCCTTCTGATCAACTGATTGCAATGCTCTCACATCTAGTCCTAACCCTGGCTGCTACCTGCCTGCGTGATCCTTGCTCAGACCTTCTTCAACAAGCACAAACATGATTGGTCTCCCTTCATCCTTTCCAAGCACAGCTCCTTTGTTTGCCTGTTCTGCTTTCTCATTGGCCCATGCTGACATCCTTTGAATTGGGCATTGTTTGCTTGGAACTTCCCACTGCTTGACTGTCAAGCTTTCACACTGACTTGCACAAATTACTTCCTGGGTCACTGCTGCCTGGCTGTTACATGCTCTCCTTTGTACACACGCACCTGTATGGCAGAATGCGCATCTGTATGGCAGAAATCTGTCTGCACACTTTTACGGCGTAAAATCTTCAAAACCAGCTCCGCGGATGTACCTCCCCCACACGTCTTTTTAGCGGGGTGCGGCCTAGTTCACCGCTCAAAATCATTGACTCATACCAGTAGGCACTTGGTGAACAATCGCCTTCACAATGGATGCTCAATGTGTTGATGCCAGCATGCTTGGTGGGTGAAGTGCACCTGTTCTTAGTATGATGCGTGTCTGTTGGACTGTAACACATGTGCCTGTCTGGCTGTAGCACAGGTGCATCTTTGTGGGGGGCATGTGTCTGTATGGTGAGTCTGTATGGCGGCCAGAGAGCATAGCTGTGCTGGGTGTGAGATCAAGCTTGGTCTCACAGCCAAAATCTGTGCTTGGGTGTAAGATCATTTTTGATCTCACAGCCAGAGTCTGTGCTCAGCATGTACGCGCCAGTATGGCAAGGTGGGTAAGTGGGGTCAGGCACCGCATTTGTCTGCGCAATTTTACGGCGCAAAGTCTTCAAATTGGGTCCGCAGATGTTCAGGCGCGCCTTTTGGCAAAGCGCGCCATAGTTTACGCCGTCAAATCCTCAACTTATACCATTAAGCTGCACAGTTCTGAGGCGCAAAATTTTCAAAGGCGAGCTCGGATGACTGTCGGACGCGTTTCTTGGCAGCGTGTCCGTGTTATGCCGGCAAATTCTCGAAGTATCCCAGTAGGCGCCATAATGCTCCGAAAAGAGGGAGCCTGCTCCACAGTCAACCTGACCCGGACCCCAAATTTGGAGCTTTCATGTCGATAGACACGCCTTTCACGCTGCTACGCTTCCCGTTCTCATCGCTTCGTAGCGCGAGCGCTTTTAAAGCACGGATCATGTGCCACATTTGGAAGACTAAGCGGCCTCGCGGGCGAAGCCAACCTGGTGACCAATAGCCCCTCTCTCGCAAAAATCAGGGAAAGCATGAAATCGGTGTCCGAGAGCTGGTCAAACAAGTTCAAGTTCGATAATGTCTAAATGTGCAGCTCCTCTTGGACCGTGCGTGATACATGTGCGGCAACTTCCCGCACGAACCCTACCGCCGAATCGGAGTCCATCAAAGCGACGTCAAGGCGAACGCCAAAGCCAAGCGTGTTGGAAGCCGTGCGGCGGACGTCGACATACACATTGTGAGGAGATCGGTGCCGCGAGGTCAAATGTGAGCCCAGTGACGTCTCGCTTGACTGAACAGCCTTCATATCCCTCTTGTCGTCAAAGTACGCCGCCGCCTCGGGCAGCTTCTTGTGCGTAAGGACAAGTGCGTTGGTGTCGGAATCAGTTGCCTGGATGCCAGGAGTGCCTTCGTCGGCTTGATCGTGCCAGAGCAGATTGAGCCAGCAGTTGAAGAGGGGTTGAGTTAACCCTTTTCGATCGAGCACATCGGACAAGGAAGACTGCTCGTGGCTGCGTCGTGCTGTCAAGGAGCGATGCACTTGCTGCAGACTGATGCGAACGCTGATGGAGGTGTTGATGGCGACAGGCAAGACATTCAACAGGGGGCCAGCCACTTGGTCCAAGTCCTCTTCTGCGGAGCGGGCTGCGGTGTAGAATCCGAACGTCGGCACCGACACGCTGCAAATTTCTCCAAGGACTCGTGCGAGCGAATGCATCACAACGTAGCGTAGAGACGTCCCGGCGTTGACGCACTGCGCTTCCAGGTTCCCCACATCGTGTACCGCGTCGGGTACTCGGACCAACAAATTCGGGCCTCGCGCAGTTTGCCCAAGGCAGGCGCCTTGGGAAGGCACGATCGTCGCTTGCGCTGCTGTCAGATCGCTGTCCCAGAAAGATTGCTGCTGTTGAATGCGAGTATCATCCGTATCGCAAAGCTTGTCCACGTATTGAGAAAAAGGTGCGCGTGGCTCGATCGAAGACCGATTGTACAGCGCTTGCAAGTCTGCAAACATCCTTGAAACACACCAAGCATCTGGGAGGGTGCAGTGGACTACGTCAGTGACGCCGTTTTTGTGGTAAATTCACCGCATGCAAGCTTACCATAAATTGCGTGATGCATCTTCAAGATTAGCAATGACTTCGTCTCGCTTTGAATGAGGACGACCTGAACAGGTGGTGAGCGCAAGTCGAAAGACATGCTGTTGCAGCGCAACACTTCTTGCGCAAAGAAGCGGTCTCTATCGTCGTCGCTCGTCGACACAACACGCAGTACCGTGGGAGCTCGACCGGCTTTTACGATCACTTGCTGAGCAGTGCCACCGACGCCAATAAAGCAGGTGCGTAGCGTCGTGTAATCGGCACGAAGACGCTCCAACGCGCTCGCCAATCGATCTGGTTCGACTTTTGAAGAGCAATCAAACACCCATGGAGCTTCGTAGAAGCGGCGGCCCGTCGCCAACCAAGCCTCGAGATGATGTAGTTGCCCTGGCAAACACGGCAAAACCGCTTCTACGTCTGCCTCTGACAGGGGCAGGGCAGTGATGGCCTTGCGCTGCGCCGAATCGAGAGATGTCGGCTGCTTGGCAGAGATGGTAGCGCGCGGTGCTTGCGAAGCGTGGCTAAGCGCAATGATCTCTGCCAAAGTCTGTCCGCGTAAAATCACGGGTACGGATACGTGGACGAGTCCACTGGCTCGACAGAGGCGAGCCAATTTGATAGCATTGATCGAATCGATGCCAGCAGCTAGAACGTCCGCATTCGCGCTGGCAAGTTGGGCGCCCGACTGCTCCACGCTCAAATTGAGGACCTTTTCGACGGCTTGTTTAAGCGTCGATTCTTCGGGCGACAGAGGACGGGTCGGAGCTCCTCCGTCTATGCTAGAAGTGGCGGCAACGGGCCCTATCGGCGTCTTCTCGAGGCCTCTGAGTACAGTGACTGCGCGGCAATGAGGCTGCAGCAAGATCATCCGGGCGCAAGAAGCGATTTGATCCACCACTTTGCGCGGGTCGAGAACGTTGGAGTTGGCTAAAACTTCCGCGGTTCCGTCCTCGCGCTCCACGATGCTAACATTCAAAGGATACTCTTCTTCGCTACCCGCAAGCGTGTCCTCGTCTTGCGCTCTCCACAATGGCGCTTTGTCGTGCGACGCTGAACGAGCAGGGTTTATTGCTTTGTGAAAGACGAAGAGGCTGTCAAGCAGCCTATGACGAAGCTCTGGTTTGCTACTCTTACGCCAACGCTTCTGAACGTTTGCCAGACTAGCTCCTTGGTGCGGCATCGACTCGTCAAGCTCTCGTTGCACGCTGGCCACGATCTCAGAGCAAGATGCCAACAATGGCAGAATTCGAATCCGTCTGACGATAGTGTTGAAAAGCGGCCCAATCACCTCCTCTTCATCTGCCACCGCCTCCTCTTCAATGGAAAGCTGACGGCACGCCATCACGTGTGCAAAAGAGACATCACGGTGGCCTACGTACGAGCTCGCGAGCATCATGGCGTTGGCCAACATGCAAACGGCTTGCAAGGTGACACCTAGTTCTTTGCAAGCCGTTCTCACGCTTTGCCCTGGTATGTCGAGGAAACAGCTTGCTCGTGTCCTTTTTTTCTCTGGATTGGAAGGCCGAGGGCTGATGCCTTTGAACCCGCTTAACTTGTTGCACCAGTACTCTTCGTCCTCGATGCGATTTGCTGTCAGGGCGCGCGCTACCGCGTGAAATGGCTTACGCGCCGGCAGATGATTGCCGTTGGCGTACGCGTCTCTCAATTGAGCGAACATTAGGGGCAGCGACACCCCGTCGTATACTGCATGATGCAAGGCAAACCGTGCAACCCCCTCTTCAACGGTCACGCCAACGGGTGGCGTGTTGCCCAATGCAGTTGGAGCTGTTGAACCGGGTCCATGATTCCACACGATTGGTGCATGCTTGTGAACGATGGCCAGCCATTGCGAGTCTTCGGAATCATCGAGATGAAACGTAGTACGCAGAATGTCGTTGGTCTCAACAACTGATGCCCAGGCATCTCGAAGCTTATCCAAGTTGATGTCCGACCGCAAACGGAGTGCGTGGACTTGACGATATCCAGACTGCGCTGTGCCGCTGCTGAGCGTCAACATTCCAGATTGTAGGGGTGTGCAGGGGTAGATGGCTTCGGCTTTGTCCGTCTCGTGAAGCGGCACGAACAGTCCCTTGAGCTTGGACTCGATAGCCGTGGAACCAGACGGCGTCGTACTGCGCAACTGTGGTAACGAAGAGACTGCGGCGGAGCGTGCTTGAACGGAGTTCTTCGTGCTTGTCATTTCCGGGGACCTTTCCGAGAACAGCGTTCGAAGACTGCCGGCCTGAACTATCTGTACTGGACTTTTCCTGATCTCTACCGCACGAAGCTCTCGCGCAAATCTAATCGCAAGGATAGAGTCTAGCCCGAGCCGATAGAAGGGATCTGTATGGCGGACTATGGACGGCTCGATATTCAGCAGAGCAGCCAAGACCTCTCGAGCCTTGAGTTCTAATGCATTCCAGCCAGCGTCAGAGTGCGCATCGGGCGCGTCTTCCGGTCTAGTCTCGTCTGGTACTGCTGGTGACGAGCAAAGACCCAATTCCTCCAGGGTCGGCTGTTCGCCACCGTCTGCTACGACGCTGAGAATGTGGCTGAAACTTTCAGCAAGACACAATGCATGATGCATGCCGTCTCGGAGTTCATGTGGCTTGAAGGCCAAGACCGCCGTCAACTGCGAGTCTCCAGATTGGACGACGTTTATTGCGACTGGATAGTCGATGGCGCTGGCTGACTCGTCAGCATGTAAACGAAGCTGCGAAAGGGTTTTCAAGGCAAGGCGAGTAGCGTAAGCTGAGAACCGCTACGATGATCGCGTGCGCATGCTATTCACCTCAGCATCCTGTGGCGGAGAGCGGACTGGATGCTGTTCGAACGCGAACAGCGTCTCAAAGAGCCTACGTGGCGCAGCAATAGCTGTCTGTATCCTACGAAGAGCGGTGTGCTGGTATGGCCACGTTCGCAGCACAGATCGCTTGGCGATCTCGACGACTTGCTTGACACTGCGTGCCTCCCTCAGATCAAAACGTGACGGAATTGTAGTTACGCAGGGCAAAAGACTGCCGCCGTCCTCGTCTGCGATAGGACCCCGACCAGAGAGCACAGTGCCAAACACGACATCGCGGTCACGTTGGTGATACGCTAGGGTCATGGCCAGCGCTGCCTGCAGTAGTACGGCCAGGGTCGTCTTGTGCTCGCGCACAGCTCTGTCTTGAAGCGCAGCCAGCAGCGACGAGAGGTCCAATTCGACGCGGCGACACTCTGAGTTGGTCTGAGCCGATGCCGGTACCGGCCCGAGTGACGAGTAAAGAGCGCTCCTGGAAGCGTAGCGGACGCCCGACAGGTGTGCGCGCCAGAAAGCGACAGCAGAAGGTTCGTTTGCTTTGGCAACGATAGCCAGCGCGCGAGCCTCGAACACTGAAGCAACCAGACTCGTTTTGTTGTCAACCTGTTGGCCGCGACTCAACTTGACCGCAATTGTCTCTACTCTACGGTGGACGATGGGAAGCGTATGGCCATCATAGAGAGAGTGGTGTATCGCTAAGTGGACGCGGCGGGTTGCGCGATCAATGCCAACTCGAATGGGGGGCGCAGATGCCATACTCGAACAAATAGACGCTGCCGCTTCGGAACAGCTCCATGGCACACCATCGTCGGCATTTCTGAAGACTACCAGTCGGGACAAGAGCTCCGTGCTAGGTTTCAGGATCACCTGCACGACGTTTGCCTCGGGGCCATCCATGAAGCAGGTGCGCAGAACATCGCTGTCTGTGATGACTTGGCGCCATGCCTCGACAAAATGCTCTATATCAGCGCTCTCATCTCCCCCGTGCATAGAGTAGGCGTGGTGGGTGATGTAAGGGAGATTGGGATCGCCCGCATCTCTTGCCATCATCGTCAAAGCAACAAGCGCTTCTTGTAAGGGCATTGACCGTCGCACGCTTGTGATGCTGCTAGCGTGAAGCGCTTCTCCGTTTCGGCCGCCAATCCGATCTAAGACGTACTTCTCAGCCGCGCCATTGAAAGCTTGTTCGCGTTGTAACTGCTGATGTTCGACGGTTCGAGATTCGGTCAATGCAAGAGGTGGTAGAGCGGCCAACCCAGAGACGGTCTCGGCCAGAAACACGGCTGCGACGCTTGCGTCCAAGTGCAGCTCTTGTCGAAGTTTCAGTGAAAGACCCAGCGCGCTCAAGCTGTCGATCCCAAGCTCAAAAACGCTGCTATTGCCAGTCACTTTGGCTGCGCCTGCATGTGGTGAAGAGCCCATGACCGATGCGATCATGTCGACAACGCGCGATTCTTCGTATGACAGGTCGTCTGAGGCGGATTGTTGTTGCTGGGCCTTTGTGTCTGGAGGGCCAAGGGGTTCCAAGAGACGTCCAATTGGAGACTGACAGAGATGAGCATTGGCTCGCTTGATGTCCACCTTCCCTGAGGGCAGGCGAGGCATTCGGCGATACACGATCGGAGTGGGGACCATGTAGGATGGCAACTCATTGCGTAGAGACCATGCCAGCTCAACGTGAACCCAGGTGACGAGCTGTGAGTGGCTTCCATGGTTCACCATCTCGATAGGCTCTTTCTGACTACACTGCGCTTCTCTGTCGACGCAAAGGTGCACCCAGAGCCTCGGTGCAGGAAGAGATGGGTGTTTGATGTATGTTGCAGCCGCTTGAACGAAATAGCCGAGAGCTGAGGCGCATCTTCTGACAGTCTCGCTTACTTCGCCGAGCTCAAGTCTCTGCCCACGAATCTTGATCTGCTCATCAGTGCGGCCTAGAAAGTCGATCGTGCCATCCGCAAGCATCCGTACCATGTCGCCAGTACGGTAAGCTCGATGCTTCGAAGAGTCGGGCAAAGTGAGAATGACGAAACCTCCTTGATCCGGTCTGTGATGGTAGCCCAGAGCTACGAGATCTCCCAAAAGTACGAGTTCTCCTTGCTCGCCTCGTGCGGCAATGTGACTGGTGCCTGGTACTAGGACTACTACTGAGGCGTTGCCGACAGGATAGCCGATATTTCGTGGGCTCGAATCGCGTGAAACACACGCCATAGTGCAGCCGATTGTGACCTCAGTCGGGCCGTAGAGATTCAGTACGAGGGCTTGCTGCCCGTCGACTTCACCGGTCCCGCTTTCGCGGCCCCACTTGTCGAGGACATATGGAGTGATCTTCTCACCCCCGACACTTACGACTGCAAGGCTGGGCGCACTCTCTGGAGTCAGTCCAGCTTGCTCAAGGAGCGAGGGAAGCATACCTATGTGCGTGATTTGCAGCCTAGTCACCGTCTGGGACAAATCCTCGAGGAGATCAGCTCGAGGCCCAGTGGTAGCAGCATATCCTAGTCGCCAAGCCATGAACATCTGAGACAAGTGGGGATCAAAAGCACGACTGGCCAAGTTGAGGTACTTTCCTTTGCCAGCCAAGTCGCACGATCGCTTCGAGTAGAACTTGAGGACGGCATAGAAACCCTCCACATATGCAGACAGATTAGCAGAACTGACAAGCACACCTTTCGGCTTGCCCGTTGATCCGGACGTGTAGAGGAGGTACCCGCCTTTGCCGCCCTCGTCGGAAAGGTCGACAGCCCTTGCAGGTCCAGCGGAGACAGTTCGCCACTCCACACCGTCGACGTCTATGACCCAGGCGTCACTGCGTGCGCCATCGACTACGCCGTCGAGAAGGCCGTCAGACGTAAAGATGCACGCCGCTTGTGAGTCCTGCAGCAATGTGAGCTTGCGCTCTCCGGGTAGGTCCTCCGCAATGGGAAGATAGATGGCGTCCAATTTGAAAATCGCCAAGACAGCTGCGAAAGCCTCAAGCGTCCTGCCCATACATAGACCGATTACTCTGCCCGAAGCCGTGCCGAGTCGCTCCAGCAAAGCAGACGCATACGAATCTGAAAGCTGATCCAACATCTTGTAAGTCCATCTGAGGACTGAAGGGTCTTTTTGTGAAGCATCTGTCACAGTTACGCGATCTAGCGGACCCACCACCTGCTCGGCAGCTATCCAATTGGGCTGTGTCTTTGCATAGTGAGAAATCCAGAAGCAGGGATGCGTGCGTGGAGCCTTTGCAAGCGTAGATTGGCTGGACCGCGCGGCTGGAGACAAATGCTGAATGGATAAGCTCGAAGTAGGCAACGCACTGATCAACGCCCGCATGTCTGCTCCAGCCGATGCAGCGCACATTGCTTTCATCAGGCCAAGAATCTGCTGGAGCATGACGTCAAGATGCTCGGCGGACAAGGTGTCTGCCGACGCAGACAGAACCATCCTCTTGATTTTGCCGCTCTCTGACGTATAGACGTTCAGTGCAAGCGCGTGCTCCACTTGCAAGGCCCCTGCGTTCGTCAAATCATGCTCTTGCACCTTTGCTGCCTGCAGTTTTCCGTCCGACTCCACTTGCACAACAAACACTCCCGCATACAGTGGCTGATCCGCAGGCCAGGAGAGCAACTTGCGCACGGAAGTAGCAGAGATATGCCGATTTGTGAGCGAATTGCGCCACTGTGACGACAGAGATGCCAAAGCCTCGTCGATTTTCCCGCTGCTCTCGACGAAGAAAGGCACGGTGGCGATTAGGGGTGCGATTGCGCTGTCCAGCTGCGCCGCGTGGACGCGCTCGCTTACAGTGGTACCTATGAGACTGGTAGCTTGGTCGAGGTAGTGTGCAAGAACCGCGCCATACGCCGCCTGAATGATCGCCGCCACGGACGGGAGGTCTGCTCTTGCCGCAACCAGATCCATGGCAGCCGTCTGTTGCAGCGGAGATGCGACGTGGTACATTCTCGGAGCGCGTCTGTGAGCTCTCCGTGCTGAGCCTGTAAGATCAGGCAAGGACCACGGCAAGCAATGAGATGCGTACCGGTCGCAAAGCTGGCGCCAATGGCCAAGCTCGTTGTCGCTAAGCGCCCAAATCGAGGAGCGTGGAAGGTGTGCGAGAGTCTCGCGGAGCGAGGGAGAGCTTACCGGAGCTTTCGAAGCTTCAAGCTCTGAGGCGAGGCTGGACAATATCAGCTCCATACTTTGTTTGTCGTACAGAGCGTGATGCATGGTGAAGAGCAAATACGTGGTCGAGTCGGCACCACTGATCAACGTCACCGCCCATCCCGGCTTTCCTGCGAAAAATGGATGTCGCGCCCGCGAAACAGATTCCAAACGTTCATTGACAAGCCGTGCCAGCTCAGCGTCAGAATTTGTCGTGCAGCAGGTCCAGTCCAGGTTAAAGGCGCTGGGCGAGAGAACAGCCTGCACGAAACCACCCGATAGGTCCGCGTCGCTGCTGCCGAGCAACGCGGTTGGCAGAAATGTGGTTCGAAGCACGTCTATTCGACTCGCTATTGCCAAACAGGCTTGTTTCACTGAAGCTGCTTCTGTCCTATCTAGCTTGATCGCGGTGCTGCCCCAGTACGCTTGCACCTCTTTCTGAGTCTGCAGGAGAAGAGATTGCTGCAAATGCGTGCATGGCAGGAGGTTCCGGAGCACTGGAAGAAGATGAAGTCTCAGCTTCGGACCGCACCACAGATTTCAAGCCGCAGCCGAAGAAGACTCACAGGGTTCCTGGCCTGACAACGTTACATCACGGAGCTGTTCAACCAGTGTGGCTTCTGCGCTTGGCTTCCACTTGTCGCTGAAGCGATCGAGCGCGCGTTTGTGTTCTGCTGCAGCGTCAAAGCCTTCAGCGTCTCCTTTTGCTGGGGCGAGCTTCTGGTTCTGGTTCATGAGCCCATTGACTCTGGCCACCAAAGCAACGAGTTGTGCGAACGTCCTCAAGCGCATTAGTTCGACAGCGGGCGGGGACTGCAAACCAGCTGAGCGTAGCTTGACTGCTAATCGAATCGTTCGAATTGAGTCCAAGCCAGACGCGCGCAGAGAGGTCGCGTTGGCGAGCCTGGAGATGTCCTTGGGAAGGGTGCTTGATCCCACCACCTGGGCAAGACACTGAGCCGCGGTCAAGGCCGGCTCCTCGAGGTCGATCTGCTCCATTTGCGAAGTCTGATGTCTTTCTGACTCGATCACCGCCCGGGCCAAGTGTTTCGCAAATACAGCTGCGAGACCTTTGCGATCGGTCTTGGCGGAAGCAGAGCGCGGAATGTCTGGAACCAATATGTAGTGGGCTGGGTGCATATAGTCAGGCAGGTGCTTGGCGACTTGCGATTTGGCCGCGGACCGCACGGCATCCTGGACTGATGTTGATGTCTTGCTCTCTCCGAGACTTGGGCAAGCGAGAAAGCTAACAATGACCTTGGCCGCCTGATTTTCCTCTCCTGATGCAAGAAGCATGGTCTCGATCTGCTTTACCACAGGGTGACATTCACGCAAAGCATGACTGATCTCGCTGAGCTCAACACGAATGCCTCCCAATTTGACCAAATCATCTTGCCTGCCGATGAAGTCGATACTACCGTCGTGCAGCATTCTGACCATGTCACCCGTGTGATAGATGCGACCATCTTGCTTAGTCGTCGGATACTTCGTTCGCGTTCTTGCCTCGTCTTTCAAGTACCCTCGAGCAACCTGTACACCTCCCAAAGCAAGTTCACCAGTCCCCCCAAGGAGCGCTGGCAGGCCGTCGTCCCGTAGTACCAGACATGAGGTATTAGGCAAGGGAAATCCTACATTCTGAGCCTTCATGGCGTCATCGGGCGTGAAGCGCCGCCAGGTAGATACCACTGTGTTTTCCGCTGGGCCGTACGTGTTGAAGGCATAGATTTTGCCGCCTGCACTCCAGTCGAGCGCGACTTCTTCGCTGAGCTTCTCTCCTATCATCGTAACGTAACGCAGAGTGGGACATTCTTCGCGTGGAACGCAAGCTGCGTAGGCTGGTGTCAGATGGGCATGAGTGGCTTGACAGTCTGACGCAAGCCGAGCCAGACTATCGATCATGACACCTTGCGGCGCAGCAACGACGCAGCCACCTAGCCCCCAGGTGTAGAAGAGATCCTGTACAAAGACGTCGAAGGTGAAGGCGGAGAATTGGAGAGTGCGGGGCGGATCCGCGCCATGTGGAATAGAGGCTTGTAAAGATCGCATCGCCATAGACGCGGCCAAGTGTTCGATCAAGACCCCTTTGGGTTCACCTGTCGAACCACTAGTCCAGATGAGGTATGCGAGCTGCCGTGGCGAGCGCGCGCCATGCGCACGAGGGACGGGGCTGCCAGCCGAGCTCAACGACTGACCGGTAGCCTCGCCTCGTCCCACGTGTCCATCACATGTCACCACGTGCTTGATTAGATTAGCGACTTCTCGGTTCTTCATCAACTGCTCGAAGCGCAGATCTTCCGGGACTTCGCCTGCAACCACTACGATTGGACTCGCGCAACGCAGCACCAGGTTGACTTTCCGAGCGACGGGCAATGCAGGGTCGATCGGGCACCATGCTCCTCCAGCCTTGAGAATCGCCAAAAGGCCAACGTACAAGTCGATGGACTTGACTGCATAGAGGGGCACGGCTTGGTCGACCAGTCTTTTGCCAGAGTTGGCAGAAATCAGACGACGTGCCCAGAAGTTGGCCAGAGCGTCTAGTTCCCTATATGTCACGACTTCTTGTGAATCGGGACCTGCTTGTTGGTTGAAGATCAACGCTGGTCGATCCGGATGCGCTTGTGCTTGCTCTTCGAATCCGGCATGAAGAAACGCATTGTCACTTTGTAGCTCTTCGACCTGTCTGCCGATGCATCGAGCAGCTAATGATGGCACAGCGTTCGTCAAATCTGATGTGAGAGTCGAAAGAGAGCTTTCACACGCGTTTACCATCTTGCTGCGGCCACAGATCACTTGCAGCAGACCGTGCAATTGCCTGAGCATCAATTTAGAGCTTTCAGGGCAAAGAAGAGAAGTCTTGTACGTTGCACGGAGGCGCAACGAGCGCACCGCACTGCCTGGCCATACTTCAATCATGACAGCAAAATCATTCTCCATGGGCGGCGGCGGGAGCTCTTCTCCACCGAGAAAGGGCTCTTGCTCTGCTTCGAAAAGCTGCAGAGCAAGTAGAGTGTCGTATGGAAGTGCCCCATCTTGAGTGACGATAGATCCGAGCTTGATCTGACTGTGACTCAGCGCTCTTTGCGCTTGAGCAGCAAGATTATCGAGGGCCCCTGCAATGGTGCCCCTAGAGTCTGTAGCATCAAGATCTAGACGGGCCGGCAGCGTTGCAAAGGTGGGAGCGGCGCACTTTCTTGCCCAGCTTTCGATGCGTCCAGACACTACGCTACCGAATGCAACATCTCGCGAATCGCTCTCGGAGTATGAGTTTAGGATGAGACACCAGGCGAGCTGTACGATAGCCAGTGGAGTGCTTCCATAGGCTCTGGCAGCCTCAAAGAGGTCCTCCAATGAAATGTCTTGAAGGCCACTCGCATCGGCCTTTGTGAATATCTCTGTAGCGTCGCATACCCCGAGGCGCGAAGATGCAGTGGGTTTTCGGCCCGCCACATCTGCGAACGGTTGCGATTCAAATCCCTTGAGCTCCTTCTTCCAAAAGTCTTCGATCTGTAGCGTCGATGCCGCGTCCAGATGTGCGCTGAGGTGCTCTGCAGACGCTGCTGCTGGTCCGGGCCGCTTTGCAATGCTCAAACCCTTGTAAGCACGCTCGACATCCTCAAGGAATAAGCCAAGCGAGCCTCCATCGAAGATGGCATGATGAAGCGAAATCACCAAAGTGTGAGCATCCTTCAGCCAATGGAATCTTACCGGAGGCTTTTCCAGCTGCATCTCTTTGTTGACCTTTTCGTAAAGCAGCGTGGGAGAGAGGTCGGAGGGCAGCAGAGCGTGCGTGTCGGGTGACAACACTTCTTGTGCCAGTACACACTGAGCAAAGGGGGCCAGCTCGTCGTCTACTGGTATGAACGTGCTGCAAAGCGCCTCGTGCTGGCCAGCAACCAGCTTAAGACTGTTTGAAAGTCTGTCGACATCGATGTCGGAGGCGAGGTGGTACAAAAAATGATGAACATAAGATCTTCGTCTCAAAAAGCTTGCTAAAATGCCGGCCTGTGTTGCTGTGACGGGCAGAATAGAGGTGACAGCAACTCCTCCAAGTGCGTGGACGCAGTGCTCGCGATGACGCGCGTCGAAGCTGCTTAACATCTTTGCGATGCCCTCCTCCTTGCGGGCGGGATCTTGCTTGCAGGCATCGACGACCTGTGTGACTGTACGTTCAGTGCGATTCAGAAGCAGTGCCAAAGACAGGTGTCGGAGCACTTCGTGGTCGCGGATAAGGTCGAGCAGCTTCATGGCCGAGAGACTATCGAGACCGGCTGCGTTGATCGAGCTGTTCGAAGATAGTCTCGTTTGTGCACTGCCACGTGCATCCAGCACACGGCTGAGCGCGCTGAGCAGAAATTTCGTGGCGTCATCTTCTCCTTCTTCAGATGGTTCAGTGCTATTTGGGAGAGCGCGTGGCAGATTTTCCATCACGCCTTCGGCAAACGCTATGAGACCACGCGAGTCGAGCTTGCCGTTCGCAGAGAGTAACTCGTCCTTGCGGATGATGAACCTGCTGGGCCGGGCGAACGGGGGAAGAGCGCTGTTCGCCGCTGCCCTAAGAGCGCCCTGCATGACTTCCTCCCGCGGCGAATCGACACCTGAAAGATCTGGACATATGACGACTGCGACCAGCTGCTTTCCGTGAGCGAGCAATGCGTGAAGGGCGTGAACGTGGCGGCTAGCGTCATCCCGCTTAACGGCTTTGAGTATGCTGGCTTCTACATCACTCAACTCGACGCGTTGGCCATTGATCTTGACCTGGCGTTGAGATGTGCCTCCCAGCCTGCCGAGTATCTCTACATAAGGGTGATGATCCTCTCGCCAAACAATTCTAGCGCGATCTCCAGTCCGGTAGACCCTTCCCCACTCGCTATGCTTTGTGAACGCTTTGTCAGTCTCATTGGGTCGCTTGAGATACCCGCGCGAGCTGACTTGCGGCCCGCCGATGATCAGCTCTCCCGTCATGCCAGCCTCGACAGCTTCGAGCGCACGACCTGGGATCTCTCTTGCAATGAAAAGTGAACATGACTCGAGGGCGTCGCCCAAGATCGTACCTCGGTAGTCGGGCATCATCTTGAGAAGTGTGCAATTGATGGCAGCCTCGGTCGGGCCTGATGCAGGCAGGCTCACTACTTCGTCAGAGGTGTGATCAATGCGTCGGGTTCGGCGCGCCAGAGACAACTCACCGTACGCATTGTAAAGGCCATGCGGACCTCCGCCGTTGGAGGTCTTGCTATCCGAGGCAAATTTATCGATCACTGAGGGGCCAAGCGCTTCGCCCATGGTCCAGAGAGACTTTAGAGTTGGAATTCTTTGCGGATCGAGAAGACCAGCCAAGCTTGGCGTAGCCATCATGATCGTCGCTCTAGACGCCGCCACAGTGGCATTGAGGTCTGACAATGTCAACTGGCGCTTTGCTGAGCACAATGTAGCGCCTGACCCGAGGCATAGGAAGATCTCCATGATGCTCGGGTCGAATGTTGGGGCTGCGAATTGAAACCATCTGGTCACCTCTCTTGGCAGAAGTGGCGCCGATTGTGCGTGTGCTGAAATCGAGCACGCGGCTGAGCGATGACTAATCTGGACTCCCTTTGGTTTTCCCGTCGAGCCAGATGTGTACAAAATGTAGGCAATGTCATGCGGTGATGTCAACGGCCATTCGGTTGTTTTGGTTGTCTGATCGGGCAGATTGTCCAGATCCAGCCATTGAGTGCGCGCATGCCGTTCGTTGATTCTATGTGGCATCCAGCCCATGGCGGAGCTGTATAGTCCGATCACGGGGCTAAAGTCATCAAGAATGTCTCTCAGACGCTCGTCCGGTGCGTCGAGTGGAAGTGGACAGAGCGTGACGCCAGCTTTGAGACATCCGAAGTAAGCCGCGTACATCTGGATGGACGGTCCTAAAAAGAGAGGCACAACGAAAGGCTCTTGTTCGGTCTCGGTACCCGCGAGAGGGTGGCGCTTGACGTGTTCGCGGATAGCGATAGCTATTCTGTTCGAGAGAGCGTCGAGCTCGCCATATGTGAGGTCTCGAAAGACAGGGCTTGGACCTGCTTCGTAAAGATAAGACAGTGCGACGTGATCTGGTGATTCTTTGACTCGTCTTTCAAACGCCGAATGAAGCAGCTCGACTTCCCCTGCAAAATCGCTGCTCTCATCGATGGGAAGTGGAGACGGCAAGTCGCCGGACTTCATCGGATGATTGAGAATGGACAGCTCAGGTGCTCGCACAGTTTGAGATCCCGACATGTGGCGAGTCAAGGCGTGGAAGATATTTTGTGCAGCTTGAGCGTCGACGTGCGCAACATTGAGCTGCATACTCATCTCCCCATTCGAGTGGACCGAAACCCCGCAGCATGTGTGCGAAGCATCCAGTGGGCGCGGGTCGTCAACATGGTATATCAGAGCGAAATCCGTGCGCCGCTCTTTAGACGTCCAGCTTGCGTCTGACTCGGTTTCGCTGAGTGCCACACACGTCTCTGTGGGACTCGCTTCCTCAGAAGTCGCCAGTATGAGCGAGCAGTGCTTTTGGGAATTTGAGACGCAGCTAAACAAGAAGCAGACCTCTTCGAGGCCGCACAAGCTCATCAGCCAAGCTGCAAATTTATGCTTGGCCTGGAGCGCGCTCTGAGGTCCGTTTGAGTTCCTCCGTGCGGTAAACGTATAGCTGACGGCCTTCGAGACCTCATCATCATCTCGAAACCGCCAAAGGTCGAGTCGAGGAAATGTTGTGCGTGCGGATGCCGACATTGTTGCTAGGGAGAAGCCAACAACGATCAGTCTGTTCTTGATGTCGTCGGGAGGAGGTCGTGAGGATGAGACGGAACGACGTTGACGTGTTGCAGCTTGATAATCTGGATGAAGCTCGCAGCATACCAGCCTTGAAGTTGAGGTGATGCCCAGGCATCGGGCTTTTGGCAATCGCTTCAATCGTGAATGCCATCATGAGTCACTGCAAACTGATCTGGAGATGAGAGCTCTGACATCGATTATCCGTTCTGCCAGCATCGCCACCGGCATCGAGTGCCACTGTCAGTGTGCCAAATGCCTGAGAACTCTGGCACGCCATCGAGGCGTCGACATCACTGCCGCAGCTCCTCCATGGGCTTGAACATCCAAACGTACCGCCAAGAGCTCGACGGCAAGTCGATGCTGAAGGCAAGCAGCTGCATCAGCGCACTTTACTGGTACCGCTGCGCGTCTTCCATCCGCCCGACGGCGCTATGCAATGCGTTCGTTCCTGGGTCGATGACTTGCAGGAGATGAAAGATGATCACTTGGACGAGGTGCGTGTGAGTGCTCAGAGACGGCAGCAAGAGGCAAAAGTCCGCGCCCAGGAGCGATGTCATGGGCTCTGCCGACTTGCTTGGCGTGGAAGTGTGGAGCATCGCTGGTTCCCGTCCGTCGCCTGCGAAAAAGGTTGCATGCATAATCAGATGACCCAGGCGCAAACCACATCGTCGCCCAGTTGACGGCGTACGATCAACGTGGGCCATCGTGTCCAACCATGCACACCAACGACCGCCATCCTGCTTTGATCTTCTGATGACGACGCAGAGCTCTTTCTTTCTCCGGACTCTGTAGGAGCCAGCTCTGGACAGAGACGGATGTTTGCGAAAATGGCGGGTCGTGAATGATCATCGCTGTGATGGTAGCGGAAGAGCCGTGTTATGTGTTGGGCGCGCAGGAGGCCGCACACCGATCGGACGGGCTCGACCCATGCATGCCATATATGCAGCAGCTAAAATCTTGAATACGTGCGTCCTCCTCACCTAAGAAGCGCGCGCGTGTCTTGCGTGGAGCAAATTGGGACAAAGCTTGCGCGTCGCACTCTAATTGACAGTTTTAAATTACAAAGACAAATCGTTAATCAATGATCAAGAACTTGAATTTCTGCAGGCCTTGATTTTGCTAAATACATCAAATGTGGTCACGTGATCTACCGTAACGTTTCTGCCAATCTTGTGTGTCAATCTGATCAATTTGCCCTATTTCCGCGACTCACTACTACTAGACTCGGGCCATGACTCAGACTGCCAATCTTTCTCATCTTCGCGACTCAATGCTCCGATTGACCATCGCAAACGTTGCAACAAACGTCGTTGCTAAAATATCCATCACGAGTGCGGTTCCTGTCTTTTCTTCCTCCATGTCTGTGCTTGCAGGTGCCAAGCCACGCTAGCAGTCCAGCTGCAGTCGTACGCGGCCGGCGCCTCAGCAGCGTTGCGAGGATTCTCCCAGGCCGCGCAAATCGGAGGTTGAATTCGTGATTCTTGATTCGAGCTGCAAGAGGGACCGCGATGACGCTACTTACTGCACAGCGCGCAGCGGCGACTTGTCCGAGTTTTGGATCGAGGAAAAATCTTAGGCCACAACGATTCACGATCAAAACGGCTTGATCGCCTGCTGGTGCCATCGTCTTCCACCTGTTGCACAATCGTGAATTCTTTCTTGCTGCTGCTGCCGCTCCAACGTGCATTGCAGCTCAAACCTTGTGCTGCCACCCAGAGCAGTCGCGAGTGTAGTACGGTACAGCAGTCAAGAACGCAAGCCCGAGTCTGAGTCGTGAGTCGCTGTGAAAGGCCGAAGCTGGGAAAAGGCTAATGTTATCAGATGTTGATTCCTACTTCGAGCGCGAATATGACTGACTGCTGACAGCCGGCAAAGCTCGTCGACATTGAGGCCAGCAGGAAGTTCGGGGCACCATGCGCCTGGCGAATCTGCGAACATGGAGGGTGGGTGAAGGGCTCCATCAAAGGACGTCATGGTCCATCAGTGTCTGACAGGCGTCCAGAATTCGTTTGCGCTCCTCGGAGAAATTTCTGAATGAAGCACCAGAAAGTGCAAGGTGATCCGAGGAGCGCCTCTTCATGTGGCAGGAGTGGGCCCTCATCAAGCATGGGCACCAACCTTGAAGAGATGCATCGTTGAGATCACCGGCCATTTGTTACTGGAGCCATCCCATATTCACCTCCACTCACTCATCCTCACCTTGGCCTGTCCTCCATTTCATACCTCGTACCGAAGGCGTCGACAGCAATGTCTGCTGCGAGTGCAGACCAGTATCCGCCGCGGGTGTGGTATCGCAAGGTACCGCTGGTGCGCTGCGCGCCCATCCTCGATCCCCTCTCCCAGCCGGCCGTGGTCACCAGCGTCAATGATCAAGATGTTGACTCCATCGCAGATGCTGCATGCTATGCGACACCCGTATTCCCAGAGGTGCACGCGAGTTGGCTCTCTCTGCTCACTTTCGGGTGGCTTAGTAGGATCCTATCCATAGGGTACACGAGGCCATTGCAAGCGGATGAGCTGTACTCGATGCCTGAGCATCGCCGAGCACACCTGTATGCCGACAAATTGGAACAGGCGTGGGAGCGCCGAGTAGCAATCGCCAAGCAGCAGAGCGCTCGAAAGACCAAGCCAGGGCTCGCATCCAAGCTCGCCTGCCTTCGACCCTCTACGATTGCAAGCAAGCTCAGGGGCCAGCCTGTAGCGGCGAGACAGCCGCACCGGCCAAGTCTGACTCTCGCTCTGAATGAAGTCACACTCTCCTGGTTCTGGGTGGGTGGAGCATTCAAATTCTTGGGCGACATGGCATTGATTACCAGTCCTCTACTCGTTCGAGCCATCATTGATACGTTGGGCAACCAATCACCTCAAGCTCAGCGAGACGGCTTCGGCTTAGCAATTGGCCTTTTTCTGTTGCTTGTGGTATCGGTCTTTGGCAACGTCCACGGATTCTACAGGTCTTACTCGACAGGCATTGCTCTCCGTGGTGCCCTGATTCACGTCATCTTTCGGCGAGCTACACAATTATCGGAGAAAGCGCGAGTTCGAGACTCTTTGGGCACCGGCAAGCTGATGAGTCTCGTCAGCGCCGATGTGTCAAGGATAGACTTTTGCTGCGGCTACTTTCATATGGGCTGGACATCCTTACTCCAGATAATCGTCTGTCTGGCGCTCAGCATTTGGACACTGGGCTACAGCGCACTGCCGGGCTTTGGTTTGATTGCGCTTCTTTATCCGCTTCAGAACGTCATGGTACGCAAGCTCTTCGAATTGCGCCGCAAAAGCTTGGTATTTACAGACGCGCGTATCAAGGCCATCGTCGAAGCTGTGGCTTCCATCCGGCTGATCAAGACATACGCCTGGGAACCTGCCGTCTTGTCACGAATCTCAAAGACTAGGGGCGGTGAAATGGGCTACTTGCGCAAGCGACTCATACTTCGTTCCATCAACACTGCTGTCAGCTTCACCGCTCCCACTCTGGCAGCGGTGGTGAGCTTTGTCACTTTCAGCGCTGCTGGAAACTCTCTGGAATCGGGCAAGATCTTCTCGGCTTTGACCTTTTTCTTGCTTCTTCGGACACCGCTCCAGATGCTCCCAATCGTGCTCAGTGCTCTTGCGGACGCAAAAGCAGCTGTAGATCGACTCGAGGCGTTTTTGCATGCGGATCTGCGCTCGCCATATGACGCAGCCGGACCGCAGATCACTCCGCTTGATCGGATGCCGCAGGCAAATGACATGGTTGCCATCGAAGACAGCGTCTTCGCTCATCACGACGACGATCTAGAGAGCGAGGCTGCAGGCAAGAAAGTGGCTCAGTCTGCTGGAAGGAATCAGCTGGCAACTCGACTGACCATCGATTCATTCCACGTGAAAAGAGGTCAGCTTGCTTGTGTGGTGGGGCCGGTGGGTTCGGGAAAGTCTTCTCTACTTCGCGCCCTCATTGGAGACATGCAGCCAGCAGGTCAGACCGGCACCGGAGCTTTGCTCGCAGGCAAAATCTCATATTGTCCGCAGACTGCGTGGCTGTTGAGCGCGAGCGTGCGTGACAACATCTTGTTTGGACGGCCTTATGAGGAAGTGCGATATCAAGACATTCTACGCCGCTGCTGCTTACATGCCGATCTTGCGACACTATCACATGGTGACGAGACGGTCGTTGGGGAAAAGGGTATATCCCTTTCTGGCGGTCAGAAACAGAGAATCAGCCTTGCTCGCGCTTTGTACAGCTCAGACACGAAAGTCCGCCTTCTCGACGACTGTTTTTCGGCTCTTGATGCCCAGGTCGGCAAGGAAGCATTTGAGGAAGGTTTGTTGAAAGGGCGTCAATATGGCGACGCCAGCGACGTTACAACCATCCTAGTGACACACTCGTTGACACTACTGGCTAGGGCCGATGTCATCTTCTACATGGATGGAGGCTCAATCGTCGAGCAGGGTACGTACGCACAGCTCATGCAAATACAAAACGGACGCTTGGCCAGTCTCGTCAGTCAGCACGGCAAGAGCGAAGAATTCATAAAAGAAAGCTCTGCTGAAGCTGCCGCGGAAAGCCAGACGCCTTTCAAAGCCGGCGATGCCGAGCAAAAGCCCCACGCAATCGCCGATGGCGGTGCAGAGGCGAAGACGGCAGCACAGTCGAAGGACACGGCCATCATGCAAAAGGAAGAGCGTCTGGTCGGCTCAGTCACTAAGCGCACGTACTTCAATTACGTCCTACTCGGTTATCCCCTCCTCACCGCACCGCTGTTCATCGTCTCCATCGTTGCCTATCAAGCAACGACTATTTTGAGTCCATTTTGGCTCAATTGGTGGCAAGGGCGCACTTTGCGAGGCGTTTCAAACGACACGTACATGGCCGTCTATGCTGCACTGGGTGTGGGACAGAGCCTCGGCTTATTCTGCATGAGCGCATCATTTGCAATGTTTGCGTACTACGTTTCCAACGCCATTCACGCCAAGGCGGCAAAGAGGGTGATGCACGCTCCGATTTCCTTCTTTGACACTACGCCTCAAGGACGCATCACCCACCGATTCAGCAAGGACATCGATGCGATCGACAATATTGTTGCGGAGACGTTGCGTCTCTTCATCAGCACGACAGTCCAAGCTCTCGGATCCATCGTCCTCGTCGCCATCATCTTGCCTCCATTCCTCGCAATTGCTGCGTTCGTGCTGTTGGCTTACGTGTGGACAGGAATGTACTACAGACCCAGCTCGAGAGAGCTAAGACGCCTCAATAACCTCTTGAGGTCCAAGATCTACGAGCACTTCAGCGAAGCCTTGTCTGGACTCGTCACTTTACGGGCGTACGATACCTTGGCTCTTTTCGTACGCGAAAACGGGCGCCGTATCGACACCGAAAACAAAGCTTACTGGTTATCCATTGCATGTCAACGCTGGCTAAACTTGAGGCTGGACATGTTCGGAGCCGTGCTCTGCCTTGGCACCGCTCTCTTGGTCGTCGGTCTCAGAGACACCATCTCCCCCGGCAAAGGTGGCGTAGTGCTATCTTACATGGTCACGGTACAGAGCGTCTTTGGTCAGATGATCCGACAGTCAGCGGAAATCGAGAACAACATGAATAGCATCGAAAGGCTGCTGTATTACGCAAACGAGGTGGATCAAGAACGTCCACATCACGTCAAGAGCATTGACAAGTCGCTCGAAGCTGCAAAGTGGCCTCAAAAGGGTCACGTCAGATTCGATGGACTCACTGCAAGCCATCGAAAGGGACTGGCACCAGCCTTGAACCACGTCAACCTTGATATCCGACCCGGGCAGAAGATTGGGGTTGTGGGACGTACGGGCGCAGGCAAAACGACATTATTGTCTGCTCTGCTCAGGATGATGGAAGCTTCCGAAGGCAGAGTCACCATTGATGACCAAGATGTCAGCGCGATTGGCTTATCCCTGTTGAGAAGAAGCATCTCGGTGATCAGTCAGGATGCTGTACTCTTTAGGGGAAGTTTGCGGTACAATTTGGACCCTTTCGATGAGTACGATGATGCCCATCTCTGGCATGCGCTTCGCCAAGCAAAATTGACAGCCGTCCAAGCAGCTGTCGAGACGGAGCAGACGCTGAGTGAGGATATGAAAGTGCACGTCGATCGTGCCAAGGAGATTCAGACAGCCAAGGCAAAGGGTCTAGACCTCGACATGGAAATTCTCGAAGACGGTAGCAATCTTTCGCAGGGTCAGAGAGCCTTGGTCTCGATCGCCAGAGCGCTGGTGAAGAACGCGAGGATCGTGGTGCTCGATGAAGCTACTGGTGAGTGAAGTTTGGCCTTGGCACGAGTTTGGGAAGCCTTTGTTCACATCGCTGACGACGCTTGGATTATCGCGATGCTTGCAGCCTCTGTGGATACCGACACCGATGCACATATACAAGCGATGCTGCAGACCTCGTTGGTGGACTGCACAGTGATCACAGTTGCGCATCGTCTCGACACGGTCGTGGGTCGCTCAGATGCAATTTGCGTCATGGACAAGGGAAAAGTGGCAGAGTATGGAGAGCCTGCCGCATTGTATCGACAAGGTGGCATTTTTGCCCAGCTGTGCGCTAGCGCATCGATCAACGAGACAGACATTGAGAAAGCCAAGGAGATTGCCGGGAGAGGGTAGGACAGGATGTACATTACAAACAAGCGATTGCGCTCTGGTCACTTTGGCTTTGTGTAATCGGATCATAGATTTGCGAGCAGGCGTAGTGAAAGACGAGAAAAGGGCTGCGAGGAGCATTGTTGCAGGCAAATTGAGCAGAAAGACGGACGCACAAGGAATTTGTTTGCCAGTGCACCATCCTTTGCGTGTGACTACATCGGACAGGCAGAGCACGACTTACGTCGTTGAGCATAGTGGCGCTAGGCAGCACAGTTTCACTCTCTTTGAGATAGCGCGTAAGGGCGCCAGTCAATTTCAATCCCGCCCACTCCCCAATAATGGCAACATTCGTAGTCGCGCAAGAGAAACAGTCGCGGCCGTTTTTTCTTGATCGACAAGCTTTCTCGCAGGCAGAGGCAACTCCGCCCCTGCTGTTTGATCCCGCGCAGCTCTGCGCATTTCCGAGTTGCATAAAGTCTGAACGACGATGAGGCAAATGTTGCATTGATGCATAGGCTTTAGCGATGCGAAACGAGGTTGACAACGCGGCATGGCGGCTAATTATGATGATTTGCAACAAACATCCAGGATCAAGCGTACCTGACCGATCTATACTTGATGTGCTGTGCGGCGAGTGTGGCACGAGTCCTTGGCCACATCAGCTATGCTGTACATTTTCCCCGAGCCGCGCAAACACGCGCCAAAGGCAAACTCACCTCGAAGGGGCAAAGTCAGCTGCTCCACATCATTGATGATGACCTGGTGCAATCTTCCGCGGAACAGATATCTGACCAACAAATGTTTCCTTTCTCCCATACAAGGATCAAAGAAGCCCAACAAAGATGACTGAAGCGAATGCCAGGTGAATTTTGAAGCATAATCAGTCAGGAGCAGTCCAAGCGCGCTTCGTCCGTTTGCTGGCCCATACCGCCCAAATCGCTCGCTCACCTTTGCTCTCCCGCCATGAATCGTAATCTGATCTCTATGGGCCAAAGCCTGCAAAGGTATCCTCACATCCCACACATCCACACCCTCCTCCTCCTCCTCCTCGATCTCTTGCGCCCCAACCACATGCGTTCCTTGCCAAGCCTCTCTATACACCTCTTCCAAGTCCCTGCTAGCCACCTGCTGCGCTCCAAGCAGCACCTCCTCCTCCTCCGCCTCTCCCAACGCTCTACCGAAATGCTCCTTGCGGCCATACAAGGCGCTCAGTACGAGCAGTCCATTGCTATCCCACGCCCGCCTCGCCTTGAGCCTGGCGCTATTGTTCAACACCAATCTGGCCTCCTTTGCCGCCTCCAATCGCTCTCTGATCAGCAGCTTGTTCCTGCCCCTAAGCTCTCTAAGCCTATTGGTGATCCTGCTCCTCTTGCTCGGCTTCAAGTAAAAGTGTTCCAAAGCGAGCAAGGCAGCAGCAGGAATGATCAAAAAGCCCAGCGCAAGGTCCGATCTGAATTCCGGCGAGATCAAAACGGGCACGCTGAGCTTCTGTCCCAATCGCGATACGCGGATGCGCAAAGTCAAACCGGGCCTTGGTATGCCTGCCGAAAGTCCCAACATCAACTTTGTGCTCTCCGTCACTCTTCTCTCCGCAAACAGGGACACATCCACACCCTGCGCCGCACCGATGGAAATGCCCGACTTGATGCGCGCTCCTCCAAGCAGCGCTAATCGCGTTCCGCGGGAAAGGGAGAGCGCAGGTCCGAGGGACGATACGGTGGTTTGAGCTGTCCAACCCTTGTCGGGCGCGGATTGGCTGGTCAAGCCGATCGTGATGCTTGGCGGTTCTTGCTGCATGAGCGGAACTCCCGCTCCCCAGCTGGTCAAGGGCAAGACGTAGTGGCCCAATTTGAAAGAGGTGAAGCCAGTCAAGGTGGACTTGGAGGAGAGCCTTTGTCCATACGTCACGTTCAGGTCGGGCGGTGCTGCGAGTGATTGTTGTGTGGCTACAAAGGTGAAGAAGCTGATTTGTGGGCAAGAGCGCAAGGAGGTTGAGGGGAGGAGGGAGGTCAGCGAAGCAAAAAGACCGAAATGAGATGCGATCAAAAGTCAACAGCACCACCTGCACACTCACGAGAGCTGGTTGAGGTCCCAATGCGCCTTGGCGGTGGCCACGTGAGGCTTGAGAGCAGTGCAGTTGAACTCGCTCCACAAGCGCGGACTCCACTGCGTTTTGATGCTGCCGATCAGATTGCCCGCACCCGCGCCCGCTCTGCTGATCATCTGCGCATTGAGCGTAGCCCTGCTGTTTTGGCCCACTGGCACTTCGAATCCGTGCCTGCCCACCAGCTGGGTGCAGCCGACCCTGTTGAGACGTTCAGAGAGGCGCAGAGGTCCAGTGGAGCCCAATTTGCGCGGTACGCGACCAGCATGACAGAACAGCGTGCTGGCGTCCAGCCTGCACTCGAAATCGCCTCTGCTCTTGACCAGCGCCTCTGCATCCTCGGCCGCTTTGCGCATGGCAGCCCTCTCCAGCTCCATGCGCATCTGCCTGGCATCGGGCGCGTGATTATCGCGCGTGGTGGTGAGAGCCCAAGATTGGCCCAATGCTCGCAAACCCAAGTGATCGTACACTGCTCGCTTCTCTTCGTCCGACAAGACCTCGTAAGCTCTCTGCACTGCTCGAAAACGCGCTTCAGCTTGCGATTTGAGCGCGATGGGTTGCTTATCGGGGTGCAGCAACACAGCCATGCTCCTCCAAGCTTCTCTGATCTCCTCTGCGCTCGCATCCCTCGACACGTTCAGCATGACGTACAGATCTTCCTCTTCCGCTTCCTCCTGCTCCAGCTCCTGCTCCTCCCGCTCCTGCGCCCCTTGGCCCGCGCTGGATCGACGTGCCTGCTCAGCGCGTCGTCGACGTCGAGACGCATCGTCTCCCGTTGCAACGCCCGCGAACCTGTGCGCGTCCCTAAAAGGTCTTCCTCCAAAAGCAGGTTCCTCCTCTGGCTCTTCGTGCACGTGCCTCAACCCACCAGTCGATCTGGCGCTTACAGTGGCGGTACTGTCGGTGGCGGGGTGTGCGCTCGCCGTGCTGGTGCTGGTGCTGGCGTGGGGATGAGGTGGCGCTGAAGGTGGCGCTGATGATGATGATGATGATGATGATGATGATGATGCTGCTTCTTCTTCTTTGCCAAAGTACTCTTCACCACTCAGAGGAGCATAAGGGTCCACGTCTTGCTCTTCCTGCTCTTCCTGCTCCTCTGCACGTGATGATGCTTCAGCGTAAGCGGAGCTGCGTGCCGGGTCGTCATCCCTGCCCATCCACTGCTGCTGCTGCTGCTGCTGCTGCTGCTGCTGCTGCTGGTCACCGATGCCTGAGGTGAAGGAAGCACCTGCAGAGAAAGACATGCTCGCCTCGCCTCGCTCCTCAACCCGAGATCCTCAAATCTCCAATTGGCGATGCGTGGCGATGCGTGGCGATGCGTGGCGATGCGATGCGTGGCGTGGCGTGGCGTCAGGGCAAGAGTGAGTTGGCGAAAGTTTGCCGCAAAGTCAGTCTGAGTCGAGAATCAAGAAAGAATGTCTATGCTTGCTTGCTTAATTGCACCTGCCCCCTCCTTCCTCCCTTTGCCCTCTCCCACAGCAGACTAGACTCGTCAAGCTGCAGAGAGACTTGTGGAATGCCGCGAAGCGAAGCGAAGCGTGAATTTCTCGAAAGGGGCGATTGCGCTTGTCTTGTCGAATTGTGAATGTGAATGTGAATGTGAATGTGAACGTTGAGAGGTGAGTGAGTATGAATGAATGAATGCGTGTGAAGCGTGCTTACCCACGACGCCCGCCATGCGCGCGCGCGGAGAGAGAACATTCAATTGCGCCATCATGGCAGTGCACGTGATTCGCCCAACCCAGCAGCAAGTCTGAGTCAACCCGTCAGGCAAGGCTTCCAACACCAGCACGTGCACGCA